AATTTTGAAAGATTGAAAAATGTAACGACAGTCTTCTCTGTATCCAGCACTAGCTACACTTCGGACACGCCTTCTTTGCATCGCAAATATTCTTTTTCTCCAACCACCTGAATAAGACGCTATTTTTTGACAGTGTTCGGTACCTAAAAATGACGTTTTGCGGATTAATCGCTTTCACCATGGCAACTGTACAAAAAGTGGATACTTTTGGTCCTAGTACCAAAAAGAAATTGACCTTGAAAGTTGGCCAATTAAAAAATTACAATGGCGGAGATATGTCACATTGACATCGTTTTACATTGCAGGTTGTAAGATATTTCTATACATACAAATCAAATATTTTTGCATATTCAATGCAAATAATGATGTTACCCATACGTATGTACATGTATTGAAAATGATTTACGCTCGCTATTTTTATTTAAACCATGTGTAACGTAATTTACATATTCCGTGAACGTAATTTTAATACGTGACAACCCGCCGTCGCGCGTAACGCCATCTACTTCAGACCCATTGCACTATTATCTGTCATTTTGAATTCAAAATTTGAAAAAGTTAAATGCAATTAATTTTAATTAAAAAACTGTATGGTTTTTTATTTCAATACAAAATATAACAATATTAATTGTATATACAATAAAATAACTGAAACTGATAGCGACATGGATTGCACTCCGCCAGAGATTATAGAAACGGCAGAACATGCTACCTCAAGATTTGCTCCCTACAAAGTCGCGAGAGGTGAGAAGTAAGAAGTAAGAACGAATAGGTTATAAGTTAACCTAAAAACTAGAGTGGCATGACACGTGAGGACAAGAAAGCAGAAATTCTTATACTATAGTAGTGAAACTGTGACTGAATCTAAATTCGAATATAATTTGAAGTAAAGGAGGTTGGAGAAAAAATTTTATGTTTTATTCGTACAAAAAATGCGTTTTCGGGACTCGGAAGGTTCTATCTCCTCGTCCTAAAAACTGACATTTTTTTGTACTAATGAAACAAATAACTATTTCATTGCAGTGGAGTGGCCCCACGCTATTATTCCATAACAAATTATTGAGTGGGCATAACTGTAATAGACACATTTTAAAATCGGTTTCGACACCATGTTAGATAAATGTTTTAACAGATACGCGACTGAAGCCAGTTTTGCGCTAATTCTGTCTTCGTATTGGCCCCACGTCAGTTTCGAATCAATAAGGACGCCAAGGAAATTAATGGATACTACTTCTTTTGACGTTGATGAAGAGAACTGAATTTTTTGTGTTTTACTAATATTTAAAATTAGCTTATTAGCACTAATCCATTGTTTTACATCTAATAAAGCCTTACTTATTTTTTCTTCATTCTGCACGAAATCGGAAGAAATCTAGTTAACGTTATGTCGTCAGCATACAGCGTGAATCTGGCACCTGGACTAGAGAAACAAATGTCATTAATAAAAATTAAAAATAAAACAGGTCCAATTATGGAACCCTGCGGAACGCATAATGTTACAGCTCGACATTGAGATTTTTTATTGTTGTACTGTACAAATTGCTTAAGTAAGATTGAATTAAGTTTATGCTATCCTGCGTGAAATTATACAAATTTAACTTTTTTAACAGTAACTTGTGAGATACCAAGTCAAAGGCTTTAGTTTGATCTAAAGATATAGACGTACAACTTCTACGTGCCTCTATACTGTCAATAATCTGCGTAGTGAAATTAAGAATGGCAGTAGTTGTCGAAAACCAAACTGATTACTGCAAAACAAATGATTCCCTTCCATGAAATCTATAATCCGATTCTTCAGAATCATTTCAAATACTTTCGAAAAAATTGGAAGGATGGATACCGGTCTATAATTAGTAGTTACGTGAATGTCTTTTTTATGAAGCGGCAGAACACAAGCAATTTTAACACATCCGGGAAAATGCTGTAATGTAGACATTCATTTAGCAAGGAAGTTAATGGTGATATGATTATGTTTATTATACATTTAATTATGTCCAAATTGTGACCGTACGCATCCCTGCACTTACTATTATTTAAAAGTTTGATTGAGTCTCTAACAACTATTTGTGATAAAGGTGCACATAGATGCAGTGGGGATTGAACCTTGGGGACAGATGATAAATATGTTAAAGGATCATTTAGGTCATTACTGTCTATATTTTCAGCTAGATGGAATATTTAAAAACTCTTCATTGAATGTCTCTGCGTCAATATTTGATGGGTTCACATCATTTTTGCAATACTGACCTTTAATAACTTTCCACATGGCCTTTGAAGAATTTTTACATTTGGAAATAAATGTATCATGAGCTGCAATTTTACTCTTTTTAATAGCCAAGTGATATTTATATCTAAAAGATCGTAACATCAATTTTACGTTTTCACTGCGCGACTGTAAATACAATTGTTGTAAAAATTGTAAGGTATTTCGCATCCTTTTTAAGTCCTTGTTGTACCATGGAACATTGAGAGATTTATTTGTACAATTCACAATTTTTTCAGGAAATGCTATTTCACAAGCCCCAGTGATAGTATTTAGAAACAAAATCAAAACAACAATTCTCTAAAATATTATTCAAAATAACTTTTCCGTGTTTATTTATTGGACGGTGTTTTCTAGGACTATTTATTCTGATTGGAGCATGATTGAGGGACATAATTGCATGTATTCCGAGATGGTGGCCATAAGATCTATTACTTCTACAGCGCCTTTATCCGCCCCCAAAAAATTTATATTAAAATCGCCAGCGACACATACATACCTGTATTTCACACATTGACGTAAGGCTTTCTACATAGTGCTTGAAAATATTTTAAAATCACCTTGCGGTGATCTATAAATACATAAAACTACTGCTTCTAAGACTGGTAGGTACACACAGGATCTTCGAGTGTGCTATCCTTTTCTGACGATGGCATTTCAGGGAATTTAATTTGTGTGTAAGCCACGCATAGTAGAATGAAAGCTACCCTAAAACCCCGGTTGGTGACTTAGCGTACAAAATCCAATTACCAACAAATTGGCATACTGCCGTAATGAAGCATGATTTGCAAATTTTTTGAAACAACCTTTGTATGATCGCATCTAGTATGATTTGTTACTGACTCGTGTGTGAACTTCACACAGACTGATATATGAACGGACAGTGCTTAGATAATGGATCATTAGTTTATCAATGCATCATAGTAAATGGAAAAAGTATATTAACAACATAGATATGTTTTATTGCCCAAGTATGTCCTCGTCCTGTTGCTTTATAATGAAGAACCTGCGTCAAGAACAAGGCCGGAAGTTGGCATACAATAAATAATCATACCGAGTGGTTTACCGAAAACACTTGACGCCTATGAGAAACGTACAAAAAGGTCAGTTTTTCTTTACATTGCATTTCTCAATCCATTTTTAATTTTTAATTGTTTTTTCAAATATTTATAAAGGAACCGTATGATTGTCATGATTACTACTACAGACACAGCTGACTAATAACATTTCGTGATGTATAGTATTTATAAATGTGGCATAATTACATCCATCTATTCGGATCTGATGTTTTGGCGGTCGTCAACACCTCCATGCATTTCAAGGGCATAAAATTTCATATTGTGCGCCCGCTACACCTTTGGAATGCTCAAAATTTTTGCACGCCTTAACGCACTTTTGAATTTGAATTAATTTGGGAATTATTACAAATCAGGCGTGGCGTTTGCTAATTCAAAGTATGTACTCTCAACTCTTAAAACATGCTCAAGATGGAATCGCAATTTATCCTTCTAAGATGTGGTTATATCCAGAAGAAAGAATGTAGAATTCCTAGAAAGATGACATCGTTAATGCATTTGTAAGTTACTTAAAAGTGTACGCCTTCAATATAAGGTATGTGGCTATTTAATTCTCAGAAGCTATATTTCAACCATTTAATATAGATATTGAGAGGTTCCACCCTGTATATACAACTTACGATGATACATACATTTTTGAGAGTTGGCAACCATGCAATTTCCAGGTGGTGAAAAAGCTGCCTGCGCCATCTAGAAAGCAATATAGAATCAAAGATTTCAACTTCGGGAGTATCGCAGGAGTCCAACTTTGGGGGCCTTGCTGTTTCTACTACCATGCGATCAAAAATGAGTTGCTGTCGAGTAACCTTTGGAATTTTTGTTTACATGGGAAATCGTACTTAACCTGAACTTCCAAAGACGACTCGACAGACATTTTTGATCGCCAGTATTAACTGATGCAATATTCTGGAAATATATTGGAAAGAAATTGCAAATTTCTTGAATTGGATAAAGAAGAAAAAACCATCAAAATCATATTATGCCATTTGCTTATCTAACAGATTAAAAGATTCCTTATCTGTACAAGGACTCATCAACGTATACTATATCATGGAATACTCCATTTACCTACAATTTATCAATGTAAGGAAACGACAATATTAAAAAATTATTTATTGTTCATGTTTTATAAGATTCTGTGCTTTGTTAGTAAAGGTATAAAATTGTGTGCTTGTTTGGTTAATGGAAATTTTCTATATATTTGAGTTTTACCAAGTTTTTAACTGGAAGTTTATAATAGTATCTAATTAGCTTTATTATAATGACGTGTTCCGCATCCACCTTTGGATTTTATGAACAAATAAAATAATGATGGGAAAGATGTGCTAATTCCATGCAAGGGTTAGCAAAACAGCTTATTACAAGGTTCAATTGTATGGAGAGTACACCACATCAGTAAGTTCAAAAATAATCTGCCAATGAAAATTTTCAGGAAGTCGTAAGACTTCATTACAAGCAAGCACCATTTCGTATTACAAGTGGCCAACGGTATTCCGATCCATTTGATTTGGAATACCATGAAAAGTGTTTTTGCTAATAATAAAGAGCAGAAAAAACTGCGTTGTCCCACTCTTGCGATAACAGTCTCGAAGTTTATTTCTTTGGGCAAGGCAAATTTATTCACCGGCGACGGCGACCCTCACGGGTCAGGGCTAAACACTAGTAATACAATTGTAATTGTTTATTGAGAGCTTTATTAGCGTATGCGTATCAAAGTACGTAGTAGGCTAATTTGTTGGTAATATTAGTTTAAAGCATACTTAACATCTCGAAAAACAGAAGTCGTCTCAGCTACCCTGCTATGATTAGGGCATTCAGCACAACAAGGGAAATACTTTCCCACTTCCCTTTTTATATCAAGCGAATAAATAAGATCATTAGGTTGTAACTCTACACTATTAATACACGTGAAATGAAATCTTTTTTAATCTTCGTTTGCTTTCTCGTGTGTTCTTGGTGTTTATAGCATTCTACAACGACAACGGTATTGTCTGACATCCACCCTAAAATTTGTAAGTCTCTTTATGGATAGCAGTAGACAAAGTTAATAAACTTACAAATTAGTAAAACAGGAAGTACATTCAAAAGTATCGCCCAAGGAGCTGCAACGAAGCGTGATATACGTATCGAAGCTGTTAACAGGAGGCAGAAGAGGAGAACTGCATTCAATATACTTGATAAGATCCACACCCTCACCAACAGGAGTATTTCCTAAAGCTTATCGGTTACAAATCCAATGATACTTGTGAACCAACTCACCTTTAACACTCCCAACAAAAGAATAACAGAAAATATCAGAGGTACCAGAAAATAACCGGCTGTTACGTAAAATACATTCCGTTCAACTGTAATTTAGCAATTGTAGTATGCGACCAAAAGAAGTATTGACTTACTGTGATAGTAGCTTAAACTCTCGGTGGTAAGTGTGCAGCCCAGTGTTACAAAAACGTAACACAAAACTGAGAAAAGTACCTGAAACAGCGGTTATTAGTTTCCGGTTTAAACCAAAATGAAGAACTTACACATTGGCTGATGCCAACTCTTAACAAAATTGTGTAAGTGTTCATTGTCTTCACTGAAATGCGGCAACTGACTATTACAATGCAACAATCACCTATGTTGACGTATAATTGACGCATGTATGGTATATTTTGGGAGAATTATCTAAATTATCTATCGAAAGGTACTTCAAAGTTGTAAATTTTTGCGCGTTAAGATTAGACAAGGATCGATTGACGCGCATGCTGTAGTACTTATATGTTTTACAAAATTTATTTAGAAATAAATTGTACAAAGCCAGCAAGGTACTATTTTCTGTACACGAACTTAACTAACAGTCAATGGTAAATCACCATACATGGGAGCCGTGACCGAAACCAATTGCTCCATGTCCTAAACTTGCACCTCCGTGCCCCAAAGCGAATGAACCATGTGTTAAATCAAGGGAACCATAACCAGCTGCCAATGCTCCATGGCCCAAACCGGCTCCTAGTTCAGCTGCAAGCCCAGCTCCGGACAGTCCGGGGGCCGATGCGAGTCCAGCTCCTAACAATCCGGCGCCGGCTGTAGCTACTGGTTGGGCGAGTTGTGGTACACTGACCGGGACGGGTTGGGGAACTGGAACAGGCACCGGTTGTGGTACTGGAACTGGGATAGGTTGAGGTACTGAAACGGGAACGGGACTCGGTACCGGTACCGGAACTGGACGTGGTACTGGAACTGGAACAGGCCTATTAACGGGAACAGGAATTGGTTGAGGCACAGGTACATGAACTGCTCTCGGAACATCAACCGGCACTGGGACTTGAAATGGCACTGGTATGGGGCGGTTAACTGTAACAGGTACCGGTTGTGGCACTGGGATGGGCACAGCTCTGTTAATAGTCGTAACGGTATTGACTCCTAACGCCAGGCCTCCCAAACCAGCCGAAATTAATCCGCCTGCACCTCCTCCAATACCCAAACCATTGTGACCTCCCAAAACGTCTAACCCGCCGAGCCCTAATCCATCATGTCCATACCCCAATCCTAAAAGACCACGTTTTTCCTGTTTCTTCGCTTCCTCCCCAGATGCAACTGCAATCAACACAATGGCGAATACCTAAAGGGAACGATTTCATTAGCACAATATATACATAGACACTAAAGGCTTACCTGTATCTTATTCATGTTGGTGTGCGCAGCTTTGAGTGCTTGAGTCCATTTTCCGTTTTGCTTATATATTAAAATCTTAACGGCTCCACCTCTCTACGGCGGTTTAAGATATATCATCGGATACTGCGTTTACTTTCACTAATCTGCAATACGCGTGATACAAAGAATGTTTAAACGTATACTGTTACATTTATTATTTAATCGTGAAATTTGTTTGAAAAATTGCAATCTGGCTCACAGAGAACAGTTTTACATGATTTCATTTCGGAGCATTCAAATTATGGGTTTAATTACCACAATAAATTTTGTTATTCGGTGTGTTGCTTCATTCAATCCTTAGTACCAAACTGCATGTTCGAAATTTTGCATTTCGGACAGCTCCAATTTTTCTTACGTGTTTTATATGTTTTAAAATCCTACATTGCATACGATCCTTCAGCTATTCCAGATTCATATGATTTCTATGGATTCCTCCAAACTCTTCCGATTTTTTTTATTGTTACGTACATTTGATTCCAAATTTTTCCCATCGCTCATTATTCAGACTTGTATTATTCACTTTTTTACATGTATTATATTGATGAGATTCAGATTCTTTAAGTTTGTGAGTTTTCTCACGTTTTCATACAATTGAAATTCCTGGCTTTTCGGATTCTTCCGTTTTATTATGTTTACGTACATGAAGATCCTACATTTGGAAAAATGTTCCCCCCTTCCGACGGCCAGTCGTTTACAGTATGCACCATAACGCAATCCAATCGTTTGACGTTGAAATCGAATACGTTGACACTATAATACCAATCATTTGTAGGCGTTTAAAGGGTAAAGTAAATAATTTGATAAATAAAATCGATGTTGATATGTAGCTTAGCTAACGTTTTTATTCAATTATCATAATCATTTTCAAATAAAAATGCAGATGGTGAAAGCTCTCACAATAAAAAGTACTAATCCACTGCATTGTTAAGAAGGACGAGTATTTAATGCGGGTTTTAACGGTTTTCATTTAGATAAATTATGAATAAGAAGGAATTATGCATTAGCAAAGTTTCAATTTATCAATCTTACGCGTAATCTAACTCAAAATAGACCAGAGCCTGCACATCTACACTATAGCAGAAGCTTTTGGTGAATATTTGAAGTCTCTAGATTTGTAATTACTGAGATCTTTAACGAATATAATGGCGTATTTTAGCATTGTTTATGTTTATGTTTTGTATGGGTTTACCAGGTTTGCCGAGTAGAAAAAATTCACAGATTTCCCAATCCTTGCAACCATCGGAGACATTGGAAATGATAACCGTATAACCTATAAAGCCATAAATAACCCTTATTCCACGGAATAATCTTGCTCCACTCGCGTAAACTAATTTTAAATTTAAAATGCTCATTAAGTCATTAATGTCACGTTGGATAATATTGATATTAACGTCTCAGATTATTTCAGTAAGAAAGAATTTTGATAAACAATTTTGGAATGACATCAAAGTGTCTTTATTATACACAAATTTTATCAAGGAAACGATAAAACATATTGCAATGGTGTATAGCAATTCAACTCTTCTGCATTTATTAAAATTATGTGCGCTTCCAATCTTATTACTCTTTGACAATTGGCTAATAACTATCAATGTCGCACAGCATATGGGATTGGTGGGCCTTAGGTAATATACAGCAATGAAGACGTAACGTTCCATGTAAACTTGCAATGAACTTGAGAGGGAGATGAGAACTTTACGAAAGGTTGAGGGAAATTTGTTTGGAAATTGGGGGAAGTGTAAGAACTTAAAAGTGAGGAAATTAAAACGAAGTCAATGAATGAATGAATGAGTGGAATTTTGCACAAACTTGAAGGGAACTGATAAATGAATGGGATACCATGGATATAAAACGTCTACGAAAGATAAAGTACGCCACAATATCGATTCTATAACAAAATAAATAATTACCATAAAATAAGACATTCATAATCGTAATTTTAAATATAATGATTTTTTAGTTTTCAATCACATGTTAATGATCTTAGAGAAACAACGCATAGCATATCTGGGTAAATTCAGTTGATGATGTTAGATCTTTGGAAGTTTTGAGGTGAGAATTGATATGCTTACTTTCAAGTCGATATAACCATCAATAAATTAAGAAGTGTGGGAAACATCAAAGTTCATTTTTTATTAGGAGGATATTAAATTATTTCGACTATAGATAGATATTATTTATTGATATTTCAATTACAGCCGTACAATAAAGTTTATCAAACTAAAATAAAAATTTAAATTACCCGACGTAAGGTGGGACAGAGACATATTTTTGGCTGAGCTATTATGTGTAACGTAACATAAGCATGGTATAAGGATGTAATAAGATTGTTTGTTAAAATATTTCTTTTGCGCAGCCTACTAATGCGAATTATGGGCTTAAAATTTGTACTAGTAAGTCCAGGGAATAAAGGGATTTTAACTTGCAAAATGAGAAGTAGTTCCAATTCGTTTTGCATGTAATATAGACAGTCATCTACTATCGGAGTAAAATGTAGAGTCCGCTCACTTTGAAGGCTCAAATCTCAAAATCGCTGGAGCCGATATTAATGAAATTTTTGGAACGTATCAATTGGTAAGTTGTTGTTAACATACGTAAATTGTAAATTTTTGCTGCCAGGACTTTTTACGTTATCGAATTTTCCTCACAAAAAAAGTACTCTAAAATGCGTGATTTGTCGCGATGCTCAACTGTACAGGTCCATAAATAGTTTATTTTTCCACGAAAATTCATACATTTCGGGTATTACATAACCCAATTCTTGCTGTAGCTATTGTAGAAAAAATTATGGAAATATCTTGTTCCCTTTTTGCGTAATTAGCGGAAAAGCAAAAACATTGCAACGCAGCTATTATTGAAGGAAACGACTTCATTCTTTTTTTATAAGATGAATAAAATAGCAAACGCCATAAATGCGTACATATTGTCTGAAAACAACTTGTGGATGTTTGTTTTTGTGTAAATTAGCCAATACTCTACGTACGAAACAAGATGAATAATAACCTGCGGTTTTCATGTGTGATGTGCGGCAAACATAACAACAATTTCATGCATATATTACTTAACCGTGTACTTAGCGTGTGTGCCGCTTTATACGAAACGTTGCTGCAAGGTACAACTTTGCGATTAAATGACCTTCCCCCCAACTCCGCTCGAGGTGTTGCGTTTATCTCTTTCGCTCAAAATTTATTAATTCCTGCAGCCCTTCATATTTTTTTGTCATTGATTCTATTCCGTGATCATATCATTTGTAATTGTCCTTTATCGATATGAACAAAACTTTTTAAAGTGTATCTTATAATAAGCGAATAAACGCGTCTGTCATTTTATCGCTGTAACGTTTGCGTAATTATACAGAAATGCATAAAAATGTATCGACGTATAGTTAAAGGTGTATTCTATCACATACGTAAAACATTATCCCATTTGAGTGAATACTTTTTTTGTAATTAAATCCTAAAGTTCTGAGTTCGTATACTTTCATTGAAAAAGCGCGCTTTCCCGTACATATTTCACTATCACATTTTCCCAAATTTAACAAGAAATATGACATTACGTACGGATACGTAGAAATAGTTGACGATTATATTACGCTTTATTTCTGAGTTTCGGGTTGTTATGCAAACGAACCCCTCTAAGTTGCGTTGTACACAGTTACGACCACCTGTGATTGCCAACGATTCACCCGCTCTCACAAGCTGTGTGAGGCGTTTACGACAGACCCCCCGCGATTGGGGTGCATCGATACGTAGCTCAAGTGAGAACACGTCGTGTTATATTTTGATCCGTAAAGATATCGTCTTTTACTGTAAACAGTGTGTAATTAAATCAGTTATAACAGACATGCAAATGCTGTCTGTACGTCTGGTTCTTTTGACGTGAGTACTTTTTTATAAGGACTTGTTCTACTTAGTTTTAGTACGATA